CAGGCATTCAGTTTTTTATATTGTGGACCGCTACAACCGAAAATAATAAACGATAAGTATTGCTCGTCTACCTAAAATATATGCATACTATATTAAAATTGTCACACACAAATAAATAAATTCGTATTTTTGTTGCAAATGACAGCCTAAAGCAAGGTGCATTTATTTATTGTCGGAAATTGATCGCCTAAAATAAAATAAAATACGTGCATGCAAACTCACATTGGCGTCTCAGAGGTAAAGAATTTTATGCACATCTTCATGAATATGTTTACAAACATTAGGGTGGTAAAATTATAGCAATGATAGTTTGAAATAAAAACAATAATAAACTTATTACTAATAAAGATTTTATTTTTAAAACAATTTTTATTTCCTTTAATTACTTGTAAAGTACATTTAACACAAATTACCACGTGACTTCATTAACCATAATGATTATTATAATAATTTTATATATTATAATTTTGAAAACGATTGGGCCTAAAATATAAAGAAATATAAACTATTGTCGTATAGTTTTAACTATTCATTTTTATTTTAAATTAACTTATTTTAACCTGAAAGACAGTTGTCATATAATATTAGTATTGCTCGTACTTAAAAACTGACAATTTCTGTTAATGAATATTTATGAGTATGAATTTGTGACGTTCATTCACTGGATTGTGAAGAACTCATATGAATTTACACGAAAGTTTGTTTTGGTAAATTCACTGCACTAAGGAAATTAATTCGGACCACCCTAATAAAGTAACTATGCAGTTTTGATTATGCACCAGTATGATTGATGATTTTTATGAACATATACATACACATTTAATTATGCAATTTGTATTCGTTCTTTTTCCCATTTTCAAAATATTGATAACAAAAAACTAAATAAATGACCACAAATGGTTAATCAATTTCCTGTTTGCTTGACTAATACAAAAATTACATCACTTCCATTTTAGGAGGACTAAGTTAATGTTTTCGGTTCTTTTTTTTTTGAAGAAATTAATGAAAATATTAAATAAACAATATTCAATAATAATTCCAACGATAAGTCTAGAATATATAACCAAACAAAATAGTCGGTCAAAACTTTATTTCAAATTTTATATTTTTCAAAAAATCTTAAAAACACTATCTTTACCAATAAAACTTACCAATAAAATAAATATATAATATATTATCAGTAAAAATTATATATTTATAAAAATTAAGATTATTTTACTCATTTTCTGAAATTTGTCACGGACAACTCTCTGACAACTAATTGAGGGATTATACACAGTTTGACCAGACAAGACTCATAGAAACGTGACTAAATAGTAGAACTCAGTACCACTTATTCTTTGATAGAAAGTATTAAAGATACTTTAATTACTCACCAAAAATTAAAGAAAAAAGTTAGTTGCTTATTTACATATGTAATTTGTAACTTTAAAATCGTGATTAATATTTTATTAAAAATTCAAACTTTGTGAAATGAATTTCTCAATAGAAAATAATTACTAATATTGAATTAAGAAAACTACTGAACAACTTCAGATATAAATTTTTAGACTTTACTTTGTCATGACAGTTTAACACACTACACACTCGTATAACGGCGCTCAACCCTGACTATATAAATTTCTATCAAGCCGCATCTGCTCAAGCAAATTGAATTCATATGTTAAAATAAATTATTGCTTTGCTAAATATATTCACATTTACAATCAAATGTACAAGTTTTTTGAATATTAATTAATATGAAATTTCCATTTGAAAGCTTCAAGAATTTGCATGGAAATAAATACAAACTGAGGTAGTGCCAAGTTCGAGTGTAACCGAGTATTTTATACTCTTGCAACTTGCAAGATTGCAATAATTTGGACCTTGCTCAGGTATACTCGAAAGCATATTTTATAAAAATATGATTCCCGACATATTTGTCTTAAGGCTTGTTAAAAAAGAGAAAATCATTGTAAATGAAAGTAGGATAATTCGTATATCTGGTATAAAACCAACGGGAAGTTTTTTATATTAGATATATGAGGTGCAAGGGATTTATTGAACCGATTTTACTATATGTGGCAATACCACATACCACCTTTTTCACCTAAAATTAGGCGGCGCCAGACCCATCGATGTTGACCCCGGTTCCGATAAAGCCCTCTCATACCATCTCGAGTGTAAAATTTAATGTCTCTGGCGTATTTATTTATTGCGCTTTTAGTATTTTTTAACAGTACTGTTATAAGGGAAGTGGGCGGGGTCGATAGTAGTGATTAAAGTAATTGTCCGGAGCTAATTTGATTATTATAATTAAACTCCTTAGAGGACGGGGCTACGCCCATTTTTACACAATTTTTAACCCACAGGTGCCTCTTGCTCTGCGATCCCCTGTGCCTGTACCAACATGTTGCCAGAGTATAATTATATGTATGCATCTGTATAACAGTTACTCATGTTCAAGTTGAACGCATTTTATATGAAAATATCCGTATTATTTATATTTGCTACTACTTTTGATATGCTTAAGAAAATATTACAATACATGTAAGTGGGGTGCATTTAAAGGGTTTCAAAAGCCTGGCTTTCCAATTTTTATTGCATTGCAAAGTGCTCAGCAACCTGTTATGTTCTATTTAAATGATTGTTTACACAAACTATTAAGCCATATTAAAGAGCCAGTGATTACATATTATCATACAAGTAAATGCGTTCTATATAAAGAATTGATGGCGCTTACATTTTTCTACCGACGAATAAAATATCATTACATGCATACATAAATTTTTGCAATAAAACTGTCTCCATGACATTTTTATGTGTTATGAATTATAAAATCGATGCAGCTGAATTGTTTTAACTCTGGAAAAATATCGTAGATTAATTTAAATGCAAAATAAAAAAAAGAGGTAACTGAGACACTTAATGCCGTGACTAAACAGAAACTGACGGATTTTCAAACTGAGCTCCGAGAAGCCATGAACAAACGTTATTAGAAACACTTATCTCTTTGAATTAGGGTTTTGGAAGTGGGCCCAGAATCTGAGTTCTGGTAGAACGTGGTTCCCAACTTACTTTTAGTTAACTGAAATAAGCGGTATTGTAAATTTAAAGTTATGTAAAACGTGCGATTTAGCCATATCCATCTGTCTGTCTGTATATACGCGTAACAACTGAGGGACTAGTTTTTGAGATATCGATCTGAAAATCTGCACACGTTCTTGTCGAAATCGCTACAGTATATCACTGCCATATAAAGTGAAAAATTAAAATCAAGTTTTTGTATAGAATATTCTCCAAATCTATTGTTCAGATCAGATCATTATAGCATATAGGTGCCATTCAAACTAAACTTAAGTTAACGTTTTCTCTTATTTCATATGACGTTTTTCGAGTATAGTATTACGTTCACATTACCTTTATGAAAGAGGAATTAGTAGCTGGGGGCTAATCTAAAAAATACAGTGGATGGGACGGAATTCAGTAAACCAGTTCTTGGCCGTAGAATATGCTGGGACCAGTGGCGGATCCACGGTGTTTTGGGTGTCAAAATCGCCCCAAAAATCGAAGAATGATAGTTAGTAATAATAAAAGATTGAATAAAAATGTATATAGTTAATAGATCGATTCATAGCGTCCGCTACTATCACAAAATCAGAGCGTTGAAAATAATTTTAATTCAAATTCATAAAAGTCTAAGAAGTAGCATCAATTTTAACAAGTAAGAAAGAGTTCGGGGGTTCATTTCATACTCTTGCAACTTGCTAGAATAAAATCCGAGGAAATAGCTTCAGATGTCGGCAAAACTTCACATAAAAAATGTTGCGAAAGAATTCAACACTCAATATTCGACAAATTCAGGAATGCATTACGATCAAGTTTGGTATTTTGTTAAGTTATATTATAGGCCACATACTCTTTTTTATAATTATATTAGAAAGTTCGAAAATATTTCTATAAGGTATATGAGGGCTAAGGAAAATATATATATCTCACACATTGACCGATATTTTCGGTGGAAACTCAGCCATAGGCTCTGGGGTCCACAATTCTGGTATATGGGTGCTTAAAAAGTTGTGGTCCGATTTTTATACCTGAGATGGCATACCTTAAAAACAATATTCGTGCAAAATTTTTACTCCGATATATTTATTGGTGATTGATTTGTAGACTGTAAAGTGAAAATACCACATGGAATTTAAGGTTCGCACTGCAATATGGAAATATAAAAATTGTCTTATATGTTAAATTGGGTTGAAATTGGTGGAGTAGGTCCGGAGATATGTGATTTCATCTAAATGTGCGCGCGGCCATCGTCCAATTTTGGCACCTGCTCCTATAAAGCCACTCACTCGATTTGTATACATTAAACCTATTAGAGACCATGCCCGCTTTTTAAACATTTTCAAACCACAGGTACTCCTCGTTATTGCGATTCGTTGTACCAATTTACAGTTTTGTATTTTAATTTGCGGCTAAGTTATGTAGGCGTGTTTACGTCCATCAACGAACTCGTCCTCTCCTTTTTGTCAAGGAGCACGTGTATCAAGTTTCTTTAAAAAAAATCAAGCCGTGGCTTTTGTGAAGCGATTGGTATTTTTTGCCATCAGAAAACATTTTTTTCAGAAAGCAAATTCACTTTTTTCCAGAGCAAACAAAGATAGCAGCATTTTGAAATATTAGCGTAGAAAATACTTCGTCTTCCAAAACATTTTTTCATAATTCTATCAATAAGGAATGTTTTTAGAGCCCTAAGGTTTACTTGAAGCCAAAAATAATGAGATTTTGAAATTTCTAGACTGGATTTACCCTTCAACGAATAACTATCAAAAAGAAATGAGAATATCAAATAATTATTGTATTTCAGTAAAGTAATAAATTAATGTGTGAGTCTACATATGAATACAATTGCAAGCAGATTTAGATACATATAATTTGTTTCACATCTGCTGTCTTTTCGACTGAACTTATTGTTCTTTTACTTACTCATGTATTTGTTTATTTTCTTCCCATTGCAGGTTAATTATACATTAATAGAGGCAACAACACGAAACGCAGGCGCAAACAACTGCAACGACAATAGCATTAAGAGAGCACGAACAATGCACATGCCCACACACACACGCTTACACAGCAACAACATTACCATTTGAAGAAATAAACAACAACGCGAGTGGCAACTGAGACTGCGACGCGGCAGAGGCAATAAATCAGTGACAACAACGGCAAAATGTTGACTGTAGTTTATCAACAACAGCAGCAACAACAACAAGAGCCGATAACAACATACAACAACTTTATAGAAACTAAAGCACAAGACGAACATAAACGACGTCTCGCCACACGGCTGCTGCCAAAGAAACGCTAAGCACCGCACCGGCAAACAAAGTGAACTTAATACAAAAGTGTAAACAAAAATACAAATTACAACAATACAAACAACAGCTAAGCCAATATACACGTATATGGCGCTTTGACAGCAGCTACAGCAACAACAGTAACAGAAGTTGCTTGTATATGTGAATACATCACTAAGCGTTATTGTTGCTATTGTCAAGTTTTTTTTTGCTGGATCAAAGCACATTGCTAGAACAGCGCTGCACCGTAAGCGTAAGCGTAAGCTAGAAGCAACCGAATACTTGGAGCTGGTTAATTGTTGCACGTCTTAGTGAACACTTTGAAGTGCAGCAACAAGCAGCACCGACACACCGTACGCGCTGAGGTGTTTACACAAGTGATAGCTGCAATAACTTAAGCATTAGCAACAAAGCAACAACAACAACGAAGCATATATACAAGAGTTGGATAAAATAGTAGAACGTAGTGGCAACTCACAATTAAATTGTGCGGCGAAAGAACTATTGAACACTGTGCTGAGTGGAGAGAAGTAAACAGGTACACCAAAAGCAACAACAACAGCGGTCCATTTTGTGGGCCGACCATGCTGATTGAGTGTCACAAATAGCAGAAGAACGCAGCGCAAAGCAAAAGGCAGAAGGCAAAAAGTTACGTCCATCCGCATTGCTACTTAAAACAAACCCGTGTAGGCCTGTTGTCAACTATAATTGCAGAGCCAAGAATTTTCGCGTTTAGTTTTTGTGTTGCCATGCGAAGTGAAACGGCTCACAGCGAAATAGTTGCAAATAGAATAGCATTACGTAGCGCAGCATAGTGCAGCGACACATACACACTTACATAAAAGCATACGTATATATGTACTTATATGCATTTTTACTTATATAGGCGAGTCCACATACATATGTATTTATATTGCATTTAGTTTAATCTTACTGCAATTAGAGACAAGAACAGAAGCGGCGTAATTTTTTTTTTTGTTTTTGACTTCTTTCATTCGATATTTTCGCTTTACGAAAGCGCTAAATACATGCACAGACGCATTTGCCTACATTTTGGAGTTGCGGCGACAAAGCATTGGCGGACAATAATCCACACAGTACAAACGGAATTCACAGCGCAACGACGTACATACAAAACTCTGCATAACAACAACAACAGCAACAGAAATCGAATAAAAAGTTGCAATTGAAACGCAACAGACAAGCAGCATTTTTCATAGCTAACGGCAGCCACCAGCGCCTGGGAATAAAAAGCACTTCATTTAGAACAGCAAACGGGTGTTTTTGTATGTTGTTTTTACGTTTTTTTTTTATAGCCGGTAGATTGCATGCAAAAAAGCAAAAGAAACTGCAGGGAAAAATAGCCAACGCTCGCTGAGTGGCGACAAACTGAAAAGAATCCGCCGAGCGTGACTGTAAAGTGTGGAAGCATTAAAGCAAAACGGCGGATCAGTTTGCCAGTAACAAAAACAGCAAAAAATCATAACAACAATAGCGCACGTTTGCAACAATAGCATGCGCTAACGGTAAAGCAGCCATTTGCCTAATGAAGCATTAGATCGAGCAGTAACTGCAAGAGTTTAAAGCAAAAACAGCAACAAAATTCAAACAGCGCTTACAAGCGCAACATTAGGAAAAGCATACCAAACAAAAACAACAACAGCAACAATGAACAGTGCAACGCAATCACCAACAGCAGCTTCGCCGTCAGCGGCGCGACGTCCCAGCGTGACTGCCAATGGCCTTGAGTTAACCACAACGCCTCCAGTAGCGCCCGCGCGACACATGCGCCCCTTGCCCGCACAACGCGCCGGCAGTGGCTGTGTCAGCGGCAATGATAGCAGTTCATCGACAACCACCTCCTCGCCACCGCAATATAGTGAGGACTTACGGCGGGCCAACATGCCCACCACATTGGACTTACTGCCACGTCAAGGTAGCGTCTCATCGTCTAAAACCTGTGAAATCGATTTGGGCGATGAGGAGCGTGACACTTTTTCGCCTGTAAGCACCGCTACAAACAGCAGCGCGGACGAATGTGCTGACGGCAGTAGTCCCAGTGATGGGGCTATGCTTGCTGCAGGTGGCGGCGTTGATAACGTTGGCAGCGCGGCTGCGCGTACGATCAACAATGGCGGCGGCGCATATGATAATAAAGCCTACGATAGTGTACATTTGACTACAGCATCACCAACGCCAGCCGCGCGCTTGAAGGTGTCCAATGGCAGTGGTGGTGGTGGTGTTGCTGCTGCAACTGGTGGCGGTATTCATTCTACATCGAAGGAGGAGAAGCAGCGACAGAATGAGGAAATTGTTATTATGGAAACGTCGTCAATTTCTTCAGAAACTGGCTCATGGGAATCTGTGTTTCCACACGCTAACAGTATTGCCACAGGTAGCGTGGTGTCAACAGCCGCAGCGAGCGTACCCATTGCTGGCGTTAGCACAACAGCTGTTGGCAAAGTGGCTGAAGTAAACTTTCCTGCTTTTAGTACAGAATTTTCTCATGGTGAAAATACACTGCCGACAGCCCCCTTTGAGCTGCCGAGGGAGCGCGATAAATGCGGCGCAGCAGAGCTGCAAGTTAATTTACTTAAAGAACCTGATATCGCACCCTACCTACGGGAGCGCACGTACTCGACAGGAGCGTCTGTAACTGCAGATACCAGCTCTTTATTCACTGGCATCAGTACACATTCGCTGTTGCGTGATCTTGAAAGACGTGATAATCCAATGGATTCTTCCGGGCATAGCGCTTGTTTCATTGACGCATCATCGCTGCGTGACGAAGATGAAGTGCTATTCTTCCCAAGTCTGGATGGACAGCAGTCCAATGAGGATGCTAAGGATATTGAAGAGCATGTGGAAGAGCCAACGAAAGCGGTTGGTGGAGAAGATGAAGATTCACCTACTAAAAAACTTGAATCATTCCATAAAGCATTTGCCAAGTGTAAAGTGAAATCTAAAGACTTGCCTGAAACTGCAGAAACGTTTGATACGTCAAAGTCAAGTTCCAGTTCAAATTCTGGTGCAGATTCGCCTCAGAAACAAATTTCGGTTGCCTCTGCCACTTCCACAAATAATCTCTCGGACGAGGAAAAACTATGGAAACGTGAACACGAAAATCAAAAGCCGCCACTGAATATCGAAGTCAAGGATGCTGCTGGTAAGGCTCAACAACTTGCTACTCAGCAAGAAGATGCCACTGAGGCCTCGGTTTCCTTAGTCGCTGATGCTGATTCCTCGGACTCCTCGGAAATCGTTAAGTTGCGCCGTGAACAAGAACATAAGCCACGACCATATATTTTTCAGCACAATATGCAACAATTTAGTATTCATCCGTTGGCGGTGAGCCCTAAATTTTCGGTGCACGGCACGACAGGTACCAACATCTCACATTCAACTACAGTTAATGCTGCACACAATGATCTCAGCTACACAACCGACTACTCTTCATCCAGTCCTGCTCCGAGCTTAATTTGGTCCGAACACGAGCACCGTCCTAGTCTAAGCGGTCGTCCACATGTCGATGACTATGATGGACACGCTCATAAGGCATTTACTCACCCGGACACACCGCATAACTCAATAGCACACATAGAGAATGTCTCAAGCAACAACTCTTCCATACATCGCGACTATACAATGTCTTCTTCATTATCTCACCAACGCGATTCCGGCGCATATTGCAGCGATGCCACAGACTCACCAGTACCAATGCCGCGCACGCCAAAACGTTCCAAGTTCGACGAATCAAATCCCATTATTTCGGGTGGGGCCTCAATTAAAGATTTTGCACCCAAACAATGTGAAAGCCCACCTGTGCATCGGCGTTTAGAGTCGTGCCCAATCGTCTCGGGTGGCTTTGCTTCGTTGGATTTTGAACCAACACGTCCGCTGGGTGATGATGATGAGGATCAAGTAGAGTTGCGTTCGAGACCAAAGACACGTAAAACTATACCTGGTATTGCGTCATGGGTTGTCGATATGAGCGATTGTCGTTCGGAGCGTCGTAAAAGCACCAGCTCAACTTCGAGTATGGAAGCATCTACAGGTAAATTTCGGGAACGTTCCGACTCGACAAGTTCGCATAAGAGCGGTTGCGGCTTTTATGTTTCTTTAGATAATATGGATAATAAGCCTAATACCGATGATCTCAATAAAAAACCAATGAAGCCGCAAATGAGTAAGTCGTACACGGCACCGAAACCGGCCGGCTTCTTTGTAAATCTCTCGAAGAGCGAATATGCAACGGCCGATGAAGTAAAACCTAAAGAGGTGAAGCCAGAGGATCCATTGACTGCAGATAAGAAAAATATATTTAGTATGTTTATAGATATAGGAGAGAGCAAGAAGCCAATTGGCACACCAAGAAAGGAGCCATTTAGTTTAGTGCAACGTTTATCTAGTTCGCAGGCTGCTCAAAGACGCACTGACGATGTGATGCGTTCAAGCGCAAGCTCGACGGAAACATTAATGGCAAAAAGCAGTAGTTTAAAGATGAATGCAGACAATGAAATATGTGGGGAGAGTAAGTCACTAGACTATAAATGCAACCTTGAACCACCCATCACAGTTGCGGCTATACGACGACTATCACAACAGCAGCGCGCTCAAAGCGACGCAACAAAGCGCCATTCGTGGGGAACTAATCCATCAAAAGAAGGTGTCACATGTGATTACAAACGCTCCATTAGTCTTACAGCAAATGGCGATTCAAAGGATAAAGGTGGTAATGGATTAATGAGTATCATAGATAAAATACCGTTAATATCGAAAGCGTCATCTCTGTCGGTGGACAGCTCGTTGTCGCCTTTCGACGAATACACCGGTTCCAAGTCTGAATTAAGCACATATTCCAACAATTCAGCACGTAACTCTGTGTCGGGTGGTGAACGTGATGATGAAGTTTTCCTCGCTGGCACTGGTGCCGCTAACGGTGGACGCATCAAAAAACGACGCCGCGATGTACAAATCAATGAAACATTTGACAAAAGTAGTTTGGCTTCCATAACAGACGGTGTGCTGTCAAAAGATTTGTCTCCAGCCTCGACAACGGATACTGAAGACTTAACTTTCCAGCAGGATGAGGAACTGGCGATACGTGAGGCTGCACTGCAACAGCTACAACAACAGGTGCCCTCAAATCGCTCATCGGCTATTATTATGGAAACCATAATTGAGGCCAAAGAAACCTCTTCGCCTAAGAAAAATGCCTCCGGTCACACCATGGAGACCCTACATGCAACCATAGAAAAACAAAAAATGCTGCTCGAAACGGTGAATGAACATGGGGAAGTTGAAAAAAGTACATTTGTGAAGTTATCTGATATGGATAAACCTGCAAAGTTCGAATTACACTCGCCCGAGTCAATGAGTAAGAGTGTGGGTAATCATCGTCAAATCAATCGGTTATTTCGTGATGATTCGAAAACGCGGCCTCATTCATGGACTATGACACGTTCTCAAGGCAATAGTTTCCTCAGTATAACTAATTCTGTTGAGAACTTGCGCAGTTTATCGCGTCTCTTCCCGAATTTTTCGAAAGAATTCTCAAACTCTTTGCCGAACGACATTATCTGTGATCAAATGGACTACATACAGACAGATATCAGCGGCGATTCGAGTCTAGCTTCGAGTATCAGTCGTTCCGGCATGGATGAGTCTTCCATATCGTGCCGTCAACCACGCAGATTGGGTGAGGATTTGTTGAAAATGTTCCTGCAAGAGATTGCCACAGACATGATCGTTGAAGTGCATGGCCGCCGCATCAAGGCGCACAAATGCATTCTACGCTCCCGCTGTCAGTATTTTGCGGCTATGTTAGCTGGTAGCGGTGCGCAGAGTGTAGTCTCACTACAGGGTTATTCCTTCTCGGCAGTACATTTTGCTTTGTGTCACATTTATTCCGGCGCTTCGCATCCACCCGACGGTATTAGTTTAATGGAGTTAGCTGCTTTAGCTGATCTCCTTGGCTTAGAGGGGCTGAAGGAAGTTACTGCGCACGCCTTGAAGACGAACTATTGTCACAATTTTCATAAGCCATGTTCGGGTTGTATCGATGGCATACTGCAGGTCTTACCTGTAGCATTAACTCACTCGTTAGATGATTTGTATCGCAAGTGTTTGCGTTGGACTTGTCGCCACTATATGAAAGTATGGCCAACACGTCAATTTGCTCAGCTGCCAGCAGACATATTGGGGCGATGTCGACAGCAAATAGTTGCTTACATGGTAAGTTTATCTTGCAACATGTTGCTACAGAGTATAATAGTTTTATTTTATTTTATTTGCTTGTAACTCTAAATTAAAGGATTGTTTTAAAGATAACAGTAATGAGATTTTTTCAGAGCTATAAATGGAAATTGAAGATGAATAAAATTGCAAGCCTTTGAGATCTCATCTTATTTTTTGGTTAGCAAAAATTACTTCAGAGTTGCGCATTTGGATTCTAAGTCATTGAGAAACAGTCAGTTATTGATCGCTATCCTCAAGACGGGTTAGTAATTTTTCTTGTTCAATCTTGGATTTTTCATTAAATATATGAAAACATTTTTGCCAAGTTGACAATCTTTGGCCGAATAATACTATGGGAAAGATATTAAGATTCAGTAAATTGGCTTGGAACCTTTTCCGACGATCATGTAAATATTAATAGTACCGAATGTTTTATCCTCCACTAAATTAATTGACTCATTGAGATGAAGAATTTTCATCGAGATTTCTTTTACTTTCCATTAAACCTTATAAGTTTCAAGCCAACTACGAACAGCAAATGGGTTTTATAAATCATTCGAACCAAATTTAAATTAACCCATATCTACATAGAAATTCGGTCCCATTGCCTATGTGTTTTAATCTACGAAACCTTGATATATTATCATTGCGAAATTGTGTATTTGCAACTGAATAGAGCGGAATTTAATAAAATTCGCACAGCCTCTTATCTTTACGGCTTGTTGAGTATAGATGAACCTTATAAGAACGACCACTCCACTACCATAGCTATAGAGATAACGAATTGACATGAGTGTGTGCCCACCTCTCGACAAATGCGTGAAGCGAACAATGATTTTCATTGTATGAGGCCGTCTGAGTATATGATATACCTACATGCGAGAGATCAGTGATCGTTGATAAAAGACAAATTATTAATTAGCCGTATCAGTTAACCTACTACTTATACTATATATTTTGTATTTCTGTTTTAAAAATTTATCACATTCCCCTTATCGCTTTTTTCTGTACACAATACTACGCCGCAGACTTCGGAGAGCGTATTGGACACAGTCCTCGATTGTGATAACTTGCTGACACAGTTGGCGACCTACCGTTGGGGTGGTATTTGTGAGAGTCTTGTACGTGATATATTGGACGCCGCCTATACCTACATTGCCGATCACTTTGCCAGCCTGATAGCGAGTGACTCTTTCTTATCGCTCGGCCACGATCGTAGCTGTCACATACCACGTCTAGAGAGTGTTCTACTGCGCACAGCATCGTCGCTCACACCAGATCAGGCATGTCGCAGTTATCAGCGTGTGACACGCCTCAACACTGTGTTGCAGGCGAAAGTCATACAAATGCCGGCGAATCTCGGTGAATTGGCTAAGGAATTGCAGGGCTTGCAAGACGAAGACTTAGATTGGGATGCTGAGTACATACGTTTAGTGAGCGCCATACTGTCCGCAGTGGAGCAATGTCTCATTCGACAGTGTTCGCGAGCTATGCGTGTGACTGCTTGGCAACGTATGGATCTCGATTTGCGTAAAAAGATACAGACATTGGCGCGACTTACCGAACCAATGGATCTGAAGCGCAGCAAACCAGTGTCCAAAGCGTTCACGTTTAGTGGCAGCACACGCAACCAAGACCTGTATCAGGTAAAGTTGGCAATACAGGCGCATTCGAAGCGCGCCATGGCACAGGATACCCAACTGTATAAGGCAACGCAGACTCAAGAGGCGGGTAATGTGCAGACCACCGAGCGCGGTGTGCAGGCCAACAACGATATACGTGAAGGCACAAGTAAGTACCAAAAATTCAAGTATAAATGTTTTATCAAGTTTTTCATAACTATATGCCATATGTTTTCACAGGTAAAATTCTTAAATCGAACACCCGTGTCCATGTGCCTCAAGCGCTTCGCGCTAGCTCACAGAGTGCCACAACTTCCGAACGCAACAGTTTAAACACACATCGTCGCACTCAATCCGAAGCGCCAATGCATATAAATAAAGTCACCACAACCGCACCAGCTTTGCCACCAAAACCTATAAACGCCGAAGTAAAAAGCGACACGAGCAAGAAAATAGCAGCACGTCTGTCTGACGTGCGTCCACGCTACCTAGAGCCACGCAAAGTGCACGCGCCAACAGGTTTTGGCAACGGTCCAGTGCGTAGCGCCACAAGTTCCAGTATACCAGCCACTACCAAAGGTAAAGGCCGTCAGATCTCATCTAGCGATAGTTCGCGTACTTCCAGTCCAGCCGCGCGTAAAACCGCGAACCAAATCGGGCGCAAATCCATTAATATGTCACTAGACAGTTTGGCGTCACCATCGCGCCGTGGCCGTACCATGCGTATGAAGGCCACCGACAATGCCGACCGTTTTTCGGATCGTGGTGGTGATTCGCTCGGCGATAGCATGAAAAGTTCTGTGATGACAAATAAAGCGATATCGCAGGAATCACTTTCAAGCATAAATAAGCTGTCGCGTTCGAATCCGATCATTGGTAACAGCGCCAAACAGTCGGCAGCTGTCGGTAGTAAGTCGCAAAACGGCAAGATGTCTAATGGAATTGTGAAGACGAATCGTGCTGCAAGCATCGGCACCAAACCGCCAAAGCATTTGCAGCAGCAAAATATAAAATCAACCGGTTCGAGCCCTTCTTCGGTGACAACAACCAAGTCAGCCGCCAGTCGCCTCTCATCCGTATCATCTACACACTCATCGCGCGATATGTTTAAAAATCGTTCGATATCGATGCCGGGTCAACCAGCGTCACAGAGCACAGCTGGTAGTCAACAAACATCGGGAAGTGGCCCGCGTCATAGTTTTTTATCTGCTAAATCACGTGAGATTCTCGCTAAGCGCGCGGAGAAAAACAAATTACAACAGCAACAACTACAACAAACCGCCAATAGCTCCGGTGATGAACGGAGCAATACGAACGCCGTCCCTGCACCCACCAATAACCAACAAGAAAAGCAACAACAACATCCGCACACCGGTCCAATACGTTCCGCCTCACACACATCCGTCACAACGACGTCAAATGCTAATTATACGCGCAATTCGCTTCCATCGAATATACCGACACGTCGCCCCAACTCGTTGCAACTAAAGAAAACAACAAATAATCACATAGTTAGCAATAAAAATAATAATACTGTTAATCAAATGACACATTTGAATAATAAAAACAAAATCATTAACGCCACCAATGGTGTGTTGAAGGCAGCGCATGCGGTCAAGCAGAAAATCGAATTATTCATCGATACGTCCACGTCAGCGGCTGGTCGCGGTGAGAAGTCAACGCCGCCACCAACTCAAAAAAATATCGACCAACAACAGAAACCGACACGTGTCGAAACGAAATTGGAGCGTTCGAGTACGTTTTGCAAGGAGTCCTCCGATATGAACATCAATGAATTGCAGATTATTGAGTAGAGAGAGAAAACTTAATGCGACTTGGCGAGAGCTCAACCGCAAATGAGGTGGGGTATGGAGTTTTTTAATGTTTATATTTTTTATTCTCTTACATTGGCATACCTCATTCAATAATATTAACAGTATATATAAGTTTCCTGATCCCCTACCGTGATAGTTTTCGAAATACATATCTGTGTATTTATTTTAACGCTGTATTTCGAAAATATTAACGCTCGACAGCACCTAAACTTAGCCAATGTTTACTTTTCATTTAATATAACCGCTATTACGGTTCAAAACTCGACTAAGTTGAATTTAAATTGTAATAACTCAACCTTAAGACTACTAAACTCTTTTTTAGCATTGCGATTTTCAGCTAACTTTAGTTGAAGTTCTTTTGATGTTATCAGCATTAAAAACTGACACTTTTGCAGATAATTTAACAGCTTTAGTTTTGAAACGAAAAAAGTTGCAAGGTGATAACAACTGAACTTTTGACAGGTTGAGTTGTTATCGATAATGTTGAATTGAAAAATTTCAACTGCAGTCAATTCGAGTTGTAAACGGTAATACAGGCAATAATTCCAATTTTTTATTTAATTTAATAATTTTTAGCTAAAGTAAATTATTATTTGAATTTTTTAAATATTGACTTAGTTTCTATTCTAAACTATATCTCATATTTATTTTTTACAGTTTACCATCATAAGAACAAGATAATAATTATGCAATATTACCCTCCTGGAGGCTGGCAATGCAAGGAACAGCTCTACGAACGCTTTGATCAAAACAACTACTCTAGTCAATAACAATGGAACATTGCTAGCTATGAAAGACAAATCTAAAAAGGCGGTATATATAGATATTTTGAATAATATATATACAATACTTATACGTAGTTGTCAATAAGCTAAAATTTGCGAAAACCTGGACATAACAGCAACATTAATCAAAAATGGCCGAAAGTCATTAAAAACCTAAAAACCATGCAGTAGATACATGCAACAACAATTATTCGTATAATGGCATACCTATCACAAATCTACATACACTAGCTGCATATACAGAATTGTAGTTGATTGCGAAGCGAAAATTGTTATTTCAAGAACAAATATATATGAAATTTAGTAGTGTTTGTTACCGCAAAATAATCCTCCTCCACAAGGTCCATAAAGTATAGACAAACGTTATACCTAAATAACGCCAGCTGTGTGCACAGCGGTTAGCAAGGTATTATATAAAGATGAAGGAAATTTAATAATAATTACTTGAAATTTTCAAAAGTGAATTTACAACAGGATCGAACTATCGATGCTAAGGTTTTAGAGGTGTAGTTGAAAGGTAGACTTTCGTGATATTATTTACATATAATGCAATGCTTCGTTTCTTTTTTGCAGAAAGTGCAAGCATACATATGCATATATGTATATGTGCATGCATAATTGTGAGTGTGCTTTAGGATTTTTAACTTTTGAATTTGAATTCGCACCAGCGAGCCTTCGACCAAAAATAAATATTTAATCATTGCTTATACGCGTGCAATAATTTTTTTTTTGTTTTTTCTGTTTGCTTGTGCCACGAAAGTGAAAGATCGCTTAAAGCGAATCGAAAACCCTTCCGCCCCATTCAACAAATTTATATTTTTTGTATTTAGGATATGTGCAAAATTTCAGCAAGAAGCTGTTTTGTGCTATACCATTTGAAATGATTTTATATTTAAATAGAAATGCACTTAACTCCATACACAAGCGATAAAATACATATATTTTTGCCAACATTGATCTTCAATTACTTCGAATGCGCTATTTTGCTTTTGCTATTATACGCATTATATTTATATTGGATTGTATGTGCATATTTTTTGTATTATTTGGTTTACTTGCTTCATTATTAGCTATGAAATGCATTAGGTTATACACTCTCCAATATACATACTCGTAAGTGTATATTAGCCTATTAAAATCTTATATAATATTCGTAAGCTCAACATACATTTTTACACGAATACTGCGAAAAGGACTTAATTTTATAAAATGCAGCATGAAATTTTAGTTTTAAGTAACTCTACTATACATACAAACATACATATATACATTTTTGAGCTTCTAAATTTATGCTTTGACATTTTCTTTTGAAAGTTTGCCAGTTGATTCAATGTTGAATCTACATAAATGAATGTAATTGGTCTATTGGCTGGCTGCATGTTAGCGAATATAGAAATTCACAAATTTAAGTGTGTACGTTACTTGTATTATGCTATAAAATATACATTAATATTAAAATTAAAAAAAAAATGGAATAAAATGTTTTTGCTTTTTCAAAGAAATACAAATATTGCAAGAAACCCAAGAAATGTATTAATAAAACATTAATATAACAAATTCAGTAATAAATTTCGTTTTTATTTACATTTTTTTATGATGGTTTAAAACTAGACACTTGTAAGTATATAGAAATATGAATGAAGTACCAAAATTAAAAATGGGTAATTTCAACTTAATTCGACTAAGCACAGATATTATCCGTTGCTTAAAAAAGAATATATTTCATAGAACAATTATTTTTTGGAAAGTTGGTTTGAAATATGGAAACAATTCGCACACCAAACGCCAAAGAGTCACAACTGAAAACTTTTTAAAATCGATTTTTTACGTATAGAAAATTACAGTTTGGTCTATTTTTCTATTGATTGCGTTGTTGTTGTTGTTGTAGTGGCAGGATTCTGCCGAGTTGACAGTCGTTGGCCGGAATAAATCCGGGTCCGTTCCGATTACGTAGACCCGACTGTCTTGGGAACAGAATTGCGTTGTTGTTGTTGTTGTAGCGACAGAATTCTGCCGAGTTGACAGTCCTTGGCCGGAATAAATCCGGGTCCGTTCCGGTTACGTAGACCCGACTGTCGTGGGAACGCGTCGAATTGCGTCGTTTGCTCTGCTTGCTCAATACCGAATAAACATTCCTCTTTGTAGTAGTATTGCTACTTTTGAAATAAATCGTAAATTTTTAGCTGTGTTCTGCGAAGTTTTGTCCCTTTATCTGAAAAAAGTGAGTTTATTCATCTACATTATTTGAAATGTGTCACATTTGATGAAATAGTTGTGATTGGCGCACTGTTATTCGATGTCTAAATTTCTCTGTTAAACTAAAAAATCGATAATATTTGAGTAAGACGCTCTTAAATAAGGTGCCCTACTTTATGGACGACGCTTTGACATGAAATTTTAATATTTTCTAGAGGAACAGTATTTTGCTTCTCCTGAACATTTGCTATTTTTGGAATTTTTTATTTATTGTGCGTTATATGTAATAACGTTTTATTAGATAATTATATATGTTCGACACGTTTTGCACACCTGTTGCGCCTACGTGTACTTCTGAAATTTTTCCCAACGGAACTTCAACACTCATTCTTTTTCTACAAACTGACCTATGACTAAAAATATGCAATAAAAAGAAATCAAATTTTGAGTATATTATATTATTTCCATAATATGTCTTCAAATTACTTGCTAAAATTACAACTAGCTTATAAATAAGTCAATATAAGATTTGTTAGAAAGCTTGGAGACAATAAAATAATTCGAAATTACGTTTCGAAAACTTATTCTAGAAAAAATTAATAATCAGATCAAATTCAATGTCACTGCTTTGCCTGGGGCTAGGATACTTCGAAAAGTCTGCAGAAGTTTAATGAAACGCAAGAATTTTGTGTAAACATGTCTTCCAGACTTAAGATACATACTCCCATTATTTGTTAAACGATTTGGAAAGTGAGAGCTTTACTTCCTCGCGGCGCCACCACTCAAATAAGCTCGCTGTTATTGTTTCCGTGACTCCAGATTCGATTGCACCCAGGCGTTGAACACATTGCGGCAGTGTATGACGACGCACTCATTGCTGCAATACTCATCTTCCCAATCGGGATTTATGATAGCGCGTTTATTACAATTCTCTCGTGTACATTTCTGAACAGCACCCGCTTCACTAAGCATTTGAATTTGTGGCTGCGGAGGATCGTTCGCTGCACTATTTACTTCAGCAGTTGGTGTTGCTGGCTGCATCTGTGCAGCACTAACGTTCGTTTCACTGTTGATGGCAACATTATTGGCAACGGTATTGTTCATGCTACCGTCTGTGTTGTAGCGGGATATTGTGAAAACAGCCGGTTTGGTTTGTAAAGCTGGCGTCGGTGTAGCATTTACATTAGCTGCTAATTGTTGCTGCTGTTCATCCAGTTGTTCACGATAGATACGCATTTGTTTCATATATTCCGCCTGCGCTGCTTCATGCTTTTTGCTGTAAACATTTTTATGGCTCACATCTAATGCTTCCCACATAGATGACACGATACGCGACAGCTCTTGAAAAGTACAGTTGGGATTTTGTTGTTTTATTGCGCTAACAGTATCACGGAAGAATAGTCCATATGCTGACAGCGGTTTAGCGGGCTCATTGGCATCCGTAGCAGTTGGCGCTAACTGCTTACGTGCAGCGAGTGTTGCTGTAGGTGTATTTTGCGCGTTTTTCGTTGGAGATACCGCATAAGCGGTATTTGCGAAAGATTCGTCATTAGCACTGTGGTACTCATCCAGAGACACATCCATGCTACGAATTCTCTTTGTCTATAAGTAGAAGAAATGTATGATTCAATGAAATACATAATTAATAATTCAAAAACATTTTTTAAACTAAAGGAAAGAATTTGAAATTATTACTATTTTCAAACACTCAAAACTTACTAAAAGCTTCTTCATCTGTTCCTTAAAAAAAATTAAATTATTTCTTTACGAATGTCTTGCAGCTAATCAAAGTAAAGTTAAACTCAATGTGGCGGCCGAAGCTCGGTGAATAAAAAAAGACAAACTGATTTGCGATAACGCACGCTCTCATGGATATAATCGTCTTGTGGTTTTGAATCCCGAGACGACAATATCGGAAACATTTATTACAAGTATTAGAGAATGCACATATATCAAAAAACCACGTCAACGATTATATCAATTGTATACGCAGGGGCCCTATGTGCCTCTCATCAAAAATGCCTTTCATACCACTGTACAGAGCACAATGTACGCTTCATTGATTTTCAGCTTCATTTGATTGTCCATCAATCAGCCGGGCACTTTGTTCGTCGGTTATTTTTACACAAACAAATTCTAATCCAATTGTGTAGTATTTTTTCCTTAATTATAATCTTAGTTCAATTTAAATTACCGATTTATAAACGTTTTTTTAATTTACCCTTTATAAAACTCGCTACTACAGCAATTTGGGATTATAATTGTTTCCAAAAAAAAATAAATGTTGCTCTTTCAGTCTTTCGGTCTCTGCTTTCCATGGTATATAAAATATTTTCACATTTTATCAAAAAAATATATAGTTACACTTACATTAATATGCTGTTGATGAATTAATCCTTCTTCCTGATATTGTTGATTAATAACGCTATTGGGGGCAGTGTAAGTTTCCGGTCCACCTTGAACCTTACTTATAGTTTCGCAATCCGTTTCGTTGTCTGGCAAATCGAATATTACCTCGTCTCCGAATGATGGTGTATGGAACTGCGCATTCATTCTCACACGCCTTGCGTCGATTTTGGTTGCTATGTTAATTGTTTATTTATTAACAAGCAACAAACTATAAAAAATGAAACAAAGTTGAAAAAGCTACTTTTTTATTGATCTCTTAAGATTTGATGAATATGGGAAATGTCAATATGACACTCACAATGTTAGCGTTACCAGTCTGTTCAATATAGTTTTTAAGCACCGAAAGTTACCACCAAACACAAATTTCTTGTTGTGATGTTAAAATATAATTAACGTTACGTCTACCGTACTAACGCAATGACTTCATAACTTACCCAGGTCAAATCACTGAGTTGTTAAATAAAAGTTCGTACAAATTCCTTTCTATAAATTAACTCACTGAACAATAATTTCGCAAACAATCACTAACACAAATATAATAACGTTATATAATTCTCTTGTATATTATATACATATACTAGTTTTCAACGAGAACTCGCATGCTATAAGTGTTTTAAACAACTGTGGCTCTATTACAGCAGTCTATGACTTTTAAATATTATATCCTCAGCTCTCTCTCTCTCTCTCTCTCTCTCTCTCTTATTCTTTCTCTATGTAACATTCAGGTATATCGCTAACTTCCTTTTATCCCACATACGTATTTATATTTTCGGTACAAAGAAAAGAATAAATATATATTATTAGTATTATATTTTGATTTTATTATGGTTCAAAGTATTCGTTTAGTTCAGATATATCTATTATCTCTATAATATTTGGTCGCTTGTTTAAATCACAGTATATACGTCTTCAAACAATATGGCGAATGGAACATGCCGTTAATTAGCTTTAACTTAATTAATTTGCAGCTATGTGGCATCACCTTATATTATTTACGTTTGACGTAACTTGTTAACCTATGTTAAAAAAATTAACCCATTGTGGAACTTGAGTTTTTTAGACGTCCATATAAATATATTTATTCTAACTGTTGAAATACTCACCAAACCGCAACTACAAATACTGGAAAAAATTTTCTAGAATAATACACATATACTACAAATAATAGTGATATATGCAGAAGTTTGCACTTGCTCTTTCCTCGTGTTAAGCGGCCAGTGAGAGAAAGAGACAACCATGAAAACATGAAGACAAGATTATGTTATTTACCGTTACTTTTTTCGGTTTAGGCTTTGAACAAAGATTACAAAAACCAAATTGAGCGGTGACGTCATAAGCAATATAGATCTGTTTTTGTTTCTATGTTGCCTCCATTCATTTTATAGTTTAAGAAGTCACGATTGTTTTCATGATTCATGGAAGCAGGTATCTATAGAGCTGTTTCTCTATTTTGCTAACAAAACAGCAAAAATTTCTTTTTAAAAAAAACCTCGTTGTCTGGATGCAAATAATGGAAGCATGTTATTTAACAACATTTCATTTAGAATCTAGCGGAGAGCGGATGGACGAAATTTTCGTGGGAACTATCAACTTCAAAGGGTAACTCGAGTAGTATTTAAGGCCGTGATTTTAGATATTTCATTGCGCGAGAATACATATATACACATAAGTACGTCGCATTCATTTTAAGGCTATTGATGTGAAAGATATGAAAATATATAATAGGTTAGGATAGTTGTGTCAATTTGGCCTTAAAAAACGAATACCTACACTTTAATATAAATCTTTAGCGCACTTTGGTAATTAATTTATGATAACTGAGTATTGCAAAACGTCATCCTGAAGGCATTAGGTCAGTGTAGAGCCCACAATTTGTAATTTATTTTTGGTGTACGAAGGTAGATTGTTTCTGACGACGCACCTATTGTTCTATAGTCCAAACTTCTTCTATCTCTTGACAGCTTTTAAAATATTTATTGTATGCTGTTCACAGTCTGCTAGCATGCCTGCCAATTAATAGTCGGTTGTCTGTTTGTTGCGCAAGTTAGAGAATGACTTATCTACAACATGCTTGCGTATTAAATACCATAAATATATCTAATTATAGGGAGGAGCCTATTCAGTCTAGTTCATCCGCTTCACAGTTACGAGGAATATTACTATGTCCTAAAACTCATTGCAGGTTTATCGTGAAATGGGATGTTAGATCCACATTCGTTCACTATATTTGATGAAATTTTAAGCGAATTTAGGGATTTCAAATCCGCTTGGCTATCTGTATTTATGTATAAAAATAATTCTTGCTTCGAGCACACTATTTGTCAGAACAACAGGGCTTTCTTTGATTGAAAGGCTATTATGGTATCTAGTTTTGCTGAAAATACACAGCCTGCCACTCGATTATTTAGTTTGGACCCATCTGTATAGATGCTTATCCCAATATTACTGTCCACCTCACCCATTTCCCACTCTTTTAGGAGTAAGGAAAAGGGAATCTGGGTAAAGCTAATGCGATGCCATTTTGCCTACATATCTAGAAATTAATACACTTTATTATTTATATATAAGAATTTATTTTATTTTTTACAATTATATAGTATATTTAATATTAATACTAGGTTCTAAACATTATATCTACAGAGTATTCCTCGCTTAATTGATACCGGTTAATTAATTTTCCCGCTTATTTGAATCACCTGATCGGTCAAAAATATGTATAATTGAACCCGGTTTTGGTTTCCCCGCATAATTGGTTAAAAATATATATTATTGAAAAACAATATACCTTTAATTTTCTCCGGTTGATTGCACAAAAAACTTTCGTTAAAAAATTAGACTGACATTACCGGACATACATACATATTTCGTAGCATTTGTGATAAGCAGCAGTTGGCATCTCTACAAAGCAATTGAAAACATACATATGTATTACAGACTTCCTAAATTAACGTTTTAAAAATGTAAGCACGAAATCTAAATATGTGATTGCAGGTCCTGCATACTTTATACAGTAACATTAATTGTTTTTGTACCTTAAGTTTATTTTATTTTTTATAACAATGCTCTTTTAATATATATGTAAGTGCATTGTCTTGTTTTTGTTCCTTATGTATTTCCGATTAAAGTTTTAAATTTTATTTAAATATAATTACTAAAAACTAAATAAACACTTAAAGTGCACATATGCATTTTTTTTTAATTTATTATTTTGTCCAATTAAGCGGGATTCCTGTAATTGAACGAGTTGTTTAATTAAACGAGTATTGGTTAATTGATTCCAAATTGTGCAATTTTTGAAGTGCAATTACTGTACATATATTTTTTTAATATTAAATTCGTTTAACTAGAAATATAATTTTTTGTCGCGTCAAACAAATTTACAATGTATTATTTAATTGGTAATTTATGAAGATTTATTCGATTCAACCTAATTTAACTTTCAGAAGTTCAAAATACAGACGAAAATTGCTAATTAAATATCAAACAAAATATTAAACAAAGCTTTATTACATACATATTTATCATTTTTATCACAATTTTAATAAATTAGAAATTATATACGATACATTTTTTAACGATTAGATATTTAAGCATTGGTTGCAGTCATTTTCGTATGGATAGGTCAAAAAATGTTATTTATAACATTAACAATTATTTAATATAACTATTTTACTTTATTATATAAAAGGCACAAACGCAGCTACAAATATACCAACATTGACTCACAACTTTGTTACAGTGTTTAACTGCCATGCTCCGTTACAAATCGTCTACTTGCGCTTTTGCGATTCGAGATATGTAGCGGTAAAGGTCAGCAATCGTTGACGCTGTTTCAGGTTGCGGGCGCGCACATGCGCTGAGTTCACCTCCTCCGTATAACTGCCTGGGAACCATCCTACAACGCCATCGCGTATGCGCTCACCCAGGTACCAACCTACAAAAAAATATACACAAAATATGGTTCAATAATTTTATTTTACGCGATTGCTTTGATAATTTACCGTCTGGTAGTTTTCGCGTTACGTTTACGACATCGCCAACCTCCAGACTCAGCGCATCCGGCTCTCTTGTTTCGTATGCGTGCTTTGTTATAACTTGCGGACAGTCCCAGGATTCGTACAGCTTTTCTCCAGGCGTCTCGGGTTCGGGCGGTCGAACTGCCTGCAACCAACGTTCCTGTTCGGAAACTGATGGGCAAGAAAGGAGCTGCAATACAACAAGTTAATAACCGATGTGTAAATATCAATGACGTCGTTGACTTACTAGTTCTACAGTCTTTCGTTCATGATTCTCTAACAATGTCATTAGTATTAGATTTTTGTGCGTCTGACTAATATCTCTTAGATCGCCCGTTGATATAGTTAGCATGCTACGCGGACAATAATCGAAGACTATGAATTGCTCTTCACCCTTACGTTTTGTTAGTACGAGCAAGTCGGAGAAGAGGAATATGTAGATCGCCACCTTGGAGAATTTTTTGCCGAACGTAAGTTTTACATCATCACCGCGCCAAATGAAATGCGTCAACTCGCCGCGCTTCACCAGGAAACGTGGTTTTGAACCAGCTGCGGGTACACCCACAGGCGCTATAGCTAAGGCACGTATTGTCGAAGGGAATTCCAGCTGACGCGCAATACGTTCAATTTCGTATGCTTGTTCACATCTATTCGCTGCCTCATTGCATTGCGTCACTATCTTATTCATGATGGCCAACGTCATTTTCCAGTTCTCGTATTCGTCATCGTTGGAACTGACTTTACTGAAAACGGCGTCGATCAGCAGTGGCAAGCGCGTGATACGTTGCATGGGTAGCATGAGGAAAGAGTGTAGATTTAAACCACAGCAGATTGAACTTGTTTCGAGTAGATGCAGGTTTTGCGCGAAGATACCGCGTGTCTCCTTCAAGCGACGCAATGTTCGGTCCATGCGCCCTTGATGCTCACAAAATGAGATATAGACATGAAAGTATTTCTCGGCCATGGTGTAGATACGTTTGCTTAAACCGATTAGCATTATGTTGTCTTGCCAACAGGACTCCATTTCGGTAAGTAATCTTTCAGAACATTCATGCACGGGTACTATATAAGCGAATAAAGCTTTTCGATCGCGTGCGCTCACTACATTCGTGTCCCGAAATATTGGATGATTCATGAAATGACTACGCAACAAATTGAGGGATTTTAAATAACTAGCTTCGGAGGTAATGATTTCGAATTTCGCCTCCTGTAAACTGCGTTCGCGTGATGTAAGGGTGGCTTTGGGAATATAAGATAATTTCAACTATCAATAAGTGAAATATGACTTGGCATAATATTCCAACTCACCTAGGACACACGAATTTATAACTTCTGGAATTTCACTCCACAATGTACGGGCTGGCCCGTTCTTTGGTTCAATTAATTGGAAAGCGCTTGGGCGCTGATGTTTCTGACTACTTATGCGTGCCTCACCACGCGTTCCATTCTGTCCAATTTCTTCATAACCATCTGTTGAACTATCATGACCCTCCATATCACGAGTGATCGACTATAATTTTTATTTAGTAATATAATAGAACTCATAATATAGATCTTCAAATGCAATTACCTCTATCTTAGCAGCGTTGTAGATCTGGTACAGTGGTTCATTCTGGAACATGCTGTGTGGGAGATCATCACCAAGCGCGCCTTCATTACCAGTCGACACACCCGAACTACCGCTTGAACTTGCTACTGAAACGCCACTAGTTTGATACAGACCTGCTTCTGTGTACCACGAATTGCCGTTAAAAACCGACGATCCACTTTGACTCGTTTTACCATCGTTTAGTGAAACTTCTGACTCTTGCATCAGATCGCTCGTGCCATTTTTAAAGACACCACATTCAGCATACCAAGAGGTTGTCGATGATGCAACGGGTGGCGGTGGTGGTGGATCTTGTGGACGTATGCCAATCGTTGTACGTCGCCGCTGCGAGTTCAGTGCTTTTGCTTCCTTTTTCGCTTTACGAGCTACAGTTGAAAATTTCTGCGCCTCGGGTACGGGTATTGGGGGCACTGTGGGTAGGTCACCAGATGAAGCTTTCTCTGAGAAGCCCGAATCTAATTCTCCTGATCCACCGTATGTCGGATCTTCAACGTAAAAGGTGCTACGTGTAGGCGACAACGATGATAATTGTTTCATATCAAATGTGGAACCAACTAAACTTTTACGTAAACGAGATTTGAAGCTTTTACCCGACTTCGATTTAGAACGTAGTGTTGCAATATTCGCATCGGCTTTCAAATCTGTTTGGTTAGTTGGAATCTTGTCAGCTGGATTAACTGATTTATCATCTACCACAATGGCTGGTGGACTATGGAACTCAGTATTTTCATAAATGTCTTGTTCTTGTGACGCTGTTGGCGTCTTTTTCACATTTTTCTGTGCCTTGGATTTAGTCTTTGGTGTATTCTCATATATATTGCCACTCACATAGAATTGTGTAGAGTTCTCGTAGAGTTTTTGTTGATTGTCACCGTATTTAGTTTGAGAAACGGGAGATTTCTTATTTGAGATGAAATTTTTGAGTTTGCGTACAATGGCGTACACTTGATTAGTGGAAGAAGGTGGATCAGGGAGCTTTACATTACGTATATCAACGCCGCTGTCATTGTGCTAGAAAGCAAAATTAGAAGATAAATTATGAAGTGATTAATAGCAAAACAGATATCAAATATTATGCTAGTTTATTTCAGTGGGAAGGCTTCCACACAAATTTTTAGTAATGTTGGCTGAATCTGCTGAAGGGTTTACGCCTTTTAGGAGGATTGCTTGGGGTTTTCTTCTTCTTGAAAATACAAAATGAAAATAAACGAATTTCGTGCACTTACATTTTTTATATTCTCTTCGGTTTCATAAATTTCATCGGTGTCTGTGTCGAAAGAGTCATAGTCATCTGATACCGCCAATGTGCCGAGCCCATGCATCGAGGCTGAGTATTGTTTTTTGCCTTGTGAGCCATTTTTCGTAAAATGTGGCAGGTCTTGACTGTATTTATTATGGCTGCTAGTACGCTGATCAGGTAGCGTGGAGTGGCGTTTATTTCCCAAAGGTGACAAAGTCTCATAGTAGTGATCGGAGTCATCTAAAATTAAAAGAAATAAACGGAAATATCAGCAATGAGCAAATGGATTATTTGATAAGAACTGAATACTTCTAAAATTACAATTAAGAACACAGTTGATAAAACATTAAAATGTGAAACGAACCTATGAAGGTGCTCACAGTCATCGACTGCCGTGCACTAATGCCATTGCTACCCTCAGTAATGGTGGCTCGTACAAACGATAGCCGAGCACAGCGATTAATTCGTCTGTTCGCTTCCTGTTCGACCTGAGTCGTGGTATTCTGATATATGGGTTCGCTGATAGCATTGTGCTCGTTGACGGCACTATTCAGATATACCTGACTGGCCGGACAAGTGATGTAGACTTCCCCAACCGCACGTGGTCGACGCTTACGCGGCAGCGTACGCAATGTGCTGCAATTGCTTTCGCCTTGACTGACATTCGTTGGCGCTGGTGTACTCATTTTATAACCGAGTTCATTTCCATGCGCACTTTTTCTGAATTTTAGTTTATTTCTATTTTATTTAGTTCAATTATTGATTTATTTCTTTTATTGTATTCTCCTCCAGGGATTTCTTTTAGTCGAATTAAAGTAAAAACAAAAAAGTACAGACGTAAATATTATATGTGGGTTAATGCAGGTCAATTACACGTCGCTTGCACATTCTCTTGGCGATCAAAGCCTGCTCAGGCATACTTTCTCGAAGGCACATATGCATACATGCAGACATTGAAATTCTATTATTAAGAGGTATCACATACATCATATACATACAAGTATGTAAGTATATATCAGCCTTTGGAATAAAAGTAGTTACCCCTTAAATGCCATCTGACGCGTAAAGTTCAATTGGTTAAGCTGGCAATATTTCTCAATTAAAATCAATTGTCTACCGGGTGTGTAACACTTTTTGTTATACATATGGATACTGTTATTTATGTATTATATTTATATTCTGTTGAATTTCTGTTATATAATATAATCAAAAGTGAGGTGAGGATTTTTGAGTTTTTACTCGGCTTTTTACGATTGCTTGATGTCAATGGACGCCTATTTTATGTCAGAACTACACTGGAAACAATGATTTTACTCGCAATCATTTCCCTAGTTTTAATATATTTATTCTACTCAAGCTTTTTATTAAACCTAACACACGTTAACATCTCCTACTTTTTAGTTGTAATGATTCTAATAATTATATATGCAATAATTGTGAGCTTAAAATAAGAAAACACGTTAACTTCGTTGGCATCGAAGTTATAATACCCTTCACAAATGCTAAAGATGCCATACAAGAATAATAAACAATAACCCATAATTTCGTGAAGATCATATAAAAAAGGGTTCGATACAAGGATATGATTTTAATCGTTCAGTTGTTCACAGCTATAGCATATAGTGGTCCGATATCGGCGGATGAGCAGCTTCTTGGAAAGAAATGGAAGTGTGCAACATTTTAGAGGGACTTGTTCGCATATGTACAGACAGACGGATAGGGAAATCGTTTCAGCTCGTCACGCTCATAATTCATCTATGATAAATATTTTATAGGGTCTTGGAAGTAAAAATGATAATTTTTCATTTACAATTTTGTTGAAGAATGGACAAAGAATATAATACAAAGGGATTATCTGAGAAAAGGTTGTTAAAAGAAGCGCTAAGTTTGGGTGGAATTGAACAGTTTATACTCTCAATCAAAGCCCATAAACGTAGACTTAGTTCGCGTTAGCTAAAATTATATTAAAAACACCTTCAAATGAGATACATATACATATGTATGTAATATTAACTCGACCGAAGTGGTTAAATTAAATATATTAAGTTAAAACTTGTTAGAATAACGAAAATCATTATAAGTAGTATATGGGAGTTGTTATCAACCGAACCGAATACCAACCGTCTAACGGCGCCCAGAAACGTATGTAACAAGTTTCATCAAAATATCTCAATTTTTACTCAAGTCACAGACAGTCACCCAGATTTCAACTCGTCTCTTTATCCTAAGCATTTATATATGTATATTTAACCATATATCCAGATGAACAAAACTATTATACTCTGTACCAACATGTTGCTAGAGTATAAAAATTGTCCTCTCAAAGAGAATAATTAACTTCGATAATAAATGAGGAGTGTATGTTGTACATATGTTTTGACAGACAATTTTGATATAAAGATAGATTTATTCATTTCATATGGTATAGTTTTCCCAAATAATAATATAATAATCTAACAGATATTGTACATACATATATAAGCAAACGTTTTTATTGGCCCTTCGTTGATGAAGGCATAATACAAAATGTACGAAATAATTACGCAAAGAAAATTTTTAATGATTTTTAGCAATAGTTTATTTTACACAACATTTTAACCAAGCTCATAAAATTAACTGAATTTTCGAAAAATTGCCTAATATATTCGTAAGTGGTAATAAATTTTGACTAATCATTTCACCTTAAAATATTCAGTGCATAAAAGCGCTGTTTGCTTACTGTAGGTCAAAACAGTTAGCCGTTCCCTTGGTTCGAATTAATTGCTTATAGTTAAGTGCTTTGTATGTTATTTGCATTAAGCATGGATCATTGGTGCAATAATGGACTCATAGTATATACATATGTCAGGAAACAAAGATTTGAAAATATTAAAATTGGCTTATAAATAGTTCAAAAAACTAAAAATTATTATATTTTTATATTCAACTTCATATGAGTCTTCTCTTCTTCTAAAGTAGTGTCCACGTATGGATTGAAATATTTTGGTAGACATGTATACTACCTGGTATATATTTAATGTAACCAAAATTAACAAACAATAGTTTGACTTAGGAGTTACATTAGGATTGACCTTATTTAAAAAATGTTTTTCATGGGACCATTGGCTTCGTTACTATTTGTGTTTAAAAAAAATATACTTTTTCTGACAATAATTTTTTTTATCTCGAGCCCAATGATATGATGACAATTATCTAAATAAATTTTCGAACAATTTAGGAAATTATAGTGAGGAACAAGAAGAGTGGTTTCTGTTGGAACTAAAAGTAATGGAAAAAAGGTATGGAGTTTGATTTAATCTTCTGGTGATGGCAGTATACTGCCGCTCCTTAAAATGAGATTGTCAACTTGAAAATCATAAAAGATAAGCTCATAAAAAGTGTTTTATTGAAATATAAGTTCACGTATAGACATACAAACAGACATGGCCACGCTGGTGACTTATATATATATACTTTATACGTTCTCCCACGTATACCATAAATACCTACTAAGACTAATTGCATGAAATCCTCGGTAATAAAAACTATTCACAAAAATTAGTGAGGAACCCCAAGTTTAATTTTATAACGGCGGCAACATAACATTTCTTTCCACAAACACTTATTTGTAAAACCGTAAAGGGGAAACTACGTTATAAAAGGACCTTAAAAAATTATTAGTTGTTGAAGATTTAGTGCATAAATCCTTTGCTTTATCCTTTTTTTACAATTGTTTCTTAAACATAGAAAAGTTAAGCAGTAAGCGTTTGGGTAAGAGATAACCCATCATAACCTAAAGAATCTCTTAAACTGAGAACAAAACCTTGCAGTTACTACCCTATTAGCGGAAAGCTACCATAAAATAGTACAGCTCACCAGCGTTGCCGTATTGTTAAGATCGGATTAAAATTGGTAGTTTCATTTGCCTTTGGTAGTTGGGTTGGTAGGTATAAGGTTTTGGTAGGCAATATTTTTTATCAGATGTATTTAGAATGAAAGTTAATCTTAAGATTTTTTCACTTAAAATTGCATACTTTCTTGTCTGCTATTTACATTAACTAAATATCGGACTATAATTGAAACTGTAAATGAAGATGGAAATTGTTAATAATTTGATATATTCGCACATTTCTTTGACTTCTTACATTAAATGAAAGAAAAAGAGGCTCAGAGGCTACTATGGTAAATAATTTTAATAATAATTCCTAAAATATCAGGGATATTAGTCGGAATCTTAACGCCATCAACCATGATTATAAGATCCAGTCTGTACTCCTTCCTCCAGGTCAGGAATGTGGTTGCTGTGGGTTTGGTGGGGAGAGTGTCAGGCTCCTTGCAAAAAAAGAGCGAGAAAGATCGGTAAGATAGCTGTTTTATTTCGAACACATGTCATCGATTCCATTGCCTGACGTCAATATCGTACAATCATCTGGATATGAGATGATAGAAATTCCCTCTGGTGGTTATGGAACCCACTGTTGAATTCTTTTTAACTTAGAATTTCGACCTCCAAATAGTACGAATGATTACCGATAGTTCTAGAAAACTTGACAATCTTTTGTAGTGATGAATGCTCGACTGACCTTCAAAAACTGACCTTAAATTGAATTGACCTCTAAGGTTTATTTGTATTGTATGTACATATTTTCCAAATGTGATGTGAAAACGCAATGTTTTGATGATAAGGAAACGTGGGAGTTTTGCAATAGATTTGGTAGGGGTTTTGGTACCCCCAGATTTTCTCAAGTGGTTACACTGCAACTCACATACGAAGTATACAATTTTTATAAAATTGTAATTACATATAATTTAAATCTGAATATAATTTAAATATATCAAGGTTGCGAGAAATTCATTTGACCTAGTACATATTTATTCATTAAAAGTGGTAATTTCAAGAATTATGTGAATTACTAGCATATCAACAGGTATAATTGTTAAACAGTTATTTAGATGGACTATTTTGTTTGTAGTAGTAGTTGTTGGACAGTGACTTAATTAAAACGAATGCCAAGTTTGTTTGCGTTTATGGTCTACTTCATGAGGTTAATTGGGTGCAAAATGCAAGCGTTTAAAATGTTATATATGTATATAAACCAGTATACCCCTAGCTCATGATTAAAGTGAGAACATTAGAGCTATAAATATATCTACATACATATGTATGTATGTACAAGAGCACCTTTGCAAAAAATGAACACGGAAAACTAAAAAACGTTCAACAAAAACAGAGTAGTGAAACAAACAAAAAAAAAAAAAATTCAACAAAAATGCTTATGTTGTTGCGTCAAAACTCGAAATGGCGCACAGCTTCAACGTTGAAAAAAGAAGAGGGAGGGCAGCATATGGTCACAGGCATACAGGTGAGCAATGAACCGGTCTATAATACAGACACCAATTTAAACTGACGTTTGGTTTTATTTTCAAGTTTTTATACTTTTTTAACTACAATCAGCGTACAATAAATTATTACATGTGCTTGTGTGTGTGCAACCACGAAACTTTACCATAAACAGTGGTTTATGGGTAAAAAAGTATGTGAAATTTATAAACTTTTTTAATTTTTTATAAGTCTGTTTCATTATCGTTTACATATTGATGGGCGATTTATTCTTGAAGTAAAAGGAGTCACATGAATTAAAACTTTGTACCTACATGTAAATTTCTGAGAAAACAACAAAGCTTTTAAGCGAATTCATGGTTGAAATTTGCCAATACAAAGTTTCTACCAATATTTTCAAAGAGAGCAATATTTATTTGCGATTATTCTGTTTTATTAAGTAAAGAATATATTTTTACAAACTTGAGTTGTGCCATTT